CAGCTGATCAAGCTTAAACGTGCTGCTGTTGTTCAGCCGCTGGTTTCCTCTTTCTGGTGCAAAGTGGGCCAAAAACAAACAAGAGAAAAGCCGATCAGCTGATCATTGATCAGTTTCATGATTGAAGTAGCAGCAGGAGAGAGAGAGAGAGAGAGAGAGAGAGAGAGGCCGTCGCTCCATATATCGGTTGTTAAGCTTATCGTGTTAACTAGTTGCTACTGGTTGTGTATGTGGGCATCCGTCCTGTACCTAGCTGGGGGATGTCCATCTCCAAGCCATTGCTAAATAGCGGCGTTTTGAGCCAGTAAACAGTATCTTGTTCCTCCAGTGAGGTGGGAGCTCCCTGCAGCATCCCACCAAGGCAGCGCCCAACTAGCAGGGCGACTGTCCTCTCCAGGTCCACAAGCCACACCCAAGAAAGTGCGGGCTGCGGCAGGGTCATTCCTGAGGCTGGCTCAGCAAAGTCTGAGGTACCTGGAAAAAGACAAATACGTTCTCCAATTTAGTACTCCACCAGACGTCAAGATGGTCCCAACTGCAGGGTGTTGAAACATATCACCTTTCATTATAAATAACACGATATGATTTTCATTTTCTCATATCAGACATCAGTGTTACATATTAATGTTAAGGCCAAAAATGAGTCTTGCGAAGTCGCTCACATCTAGCCTAGAGGTCGGCGACCTGCAGCTTGCAAGCCAGGGGTTAGGATTAAGGTTACCCCGAACCCTATTATACTATATGTACCTCTGTCCCCGTCACCTGCATGTGCTGCTCTTCTTCTCCCACTGCTTGGTAGGAGCAGCTATGACTCTTGATGTTGAAAGTTGCCGACACCTGAACCGGCAAATGAATCCTCCAATTCTAGTGTATGTTTATGCCAAATTAAAAAAAATCATCAAGCTCTTAAAGAGAAAAAACTTAACGACAGAACATGTGTACACGTAATGCCTGCACACATGGCTTTTTGTAATTACACTGCTGGCTTAGCTGACAAGCGCTCATAATTTAACATCTCCAGCAGAAATGATCACATCATGTGTCTGTACATGCATTTACCTCATCCCAGGAGATTTTGTAACTTTTTTTTTCAAATTTTGACCAAGTTAACCTTGCTCTGAGCTCACCCTGAAGAGGCCACTGCAGCTCCTGGTCCTCCAGAGGAGAGGCAGCAGGCAACAGTCTGTTCAAACAATCCAGAGGAGGCAGCAGTTCCAGCAGTTGGCTCAACAGCGGCCTTGCCACCGACACCGGAAGCAGCAGTAAGGCGTTGATTATCTGACACAGCATGCTGCCTGCTGCTGACACGTAGATCACATCTGCAGATTACATGGTCATAGTTTTATGACAATGATATAAAACAAAAGAAAGTATCTTCAATGCTAAATGAAAAGAACTTGAACTATCGGAGCAGAATGAGATAACAAGGAAGTGAGAACAGGCCTTTATAGTCAGATTACAACACAGGTCACTTGATTTCATTCACCTTGTAGCTTCTCCCGTATGCTGCCATTCCAGGAGCTCTCCTTTATCAGCGCTGCAGAGCGGGAGTAGATATCTGTGGCATGTGGCAAGAGCAGCTGCAGATGTTTGTGGAGCAATGACACACTGCTGGAGTTCTGCAAATAAACAGGGTGACAAAAAGTTTTTATATACTATGGTCATTTTCTTTTATTTGGTTTCTTTTATTCACTAAAAAAGTGACAGACAGACAGATTTTTACCAACATCACAGGGCTGAAATACAATCTACCATCTACAACATAGCACACCACATTATTAAGACACCGCTGAAAAGAAACATCTGTGAAATTATTCATCAGTAAATAAAACAGAAATTTAGCTTTAACTCTATATTTAACCAGCAAAATGAAAGTTGTATCAACCCACTGCCACTGGAGACCAAGCCACTCCACAGTTTTCAAAGACACAATAAACAGCGTTTCAAGGCAGTTAAATTCAAGAAACATATGAAAACTAGTTTTTATTTCTTGACAAAAGGGACATAATCCACTTGCATTTTTTTTAACCTTGGACACAAAACTACTGACAGCAATGGCACCGTGCAAAACCCTCCCCTGTAGATCACCTGACCTCTTATTGAGTGGGGGTTAATAAAAGACTCTCCATATAGGTTTCTGACATTCCTCAACTTTTAACTTGTCTCTCCAGACAGCATCGGTCCTTCCACTCAAGTGCCTTTAATTTAACCCTTGAACTGACATTTTATATAACAGTTTTCCACTCAGCATGTGAAAAGTCACGAGTCTTTCCGATTCATAAGCGAGGGTCCCGTCAAGAATGTAAAATCAATACTCAATTCCATTCCTCAAAAAGGATCCCTTTCATCGGACATCTCTAATCCACGACTAGAATCTAACAGCATCTCCTTTTCAACTAAAGTTAAACATTTAAGCCAAAAGTCTAGAATACTCCTCATAATGTGGCTTGACTTGAACCAATGAAAGATGTTGCTGTTTCTGTGTTCTGAAGGTCTGGTCCATAATTTGTCTCAGTTTGAGAGCCTTTGTCTCAAACAGTCTTTTCAAAAAAGCAAGTCCAGTTCCATCACGTGCATCCGGCCAAGCCCCCAAAAACAACGGTTCCTCTAGAAGCCAAAACAATGAGGAAGCTGGTTCCAGTCTTTTCCAACAGAAAAGGGTCCAAGCTTTAAAAAGGCCTTTATAAAACATAGGAATTTCATAACAAAATATTAAATTACAGTTTAGTAAAAACACGGAAGCATCCATTCCTAACTCTCCTTTTCCTCTTAAAATAACGCTAGTTACTGGTTCCCAGAAAACATCTTCCCTTCCCATCAAGTGTTTCTGAATAAACTGCAGTCTGAAAGCTGCAGCTCTGCTCTCTAGGTGAGCTCGTCTTTGTCCACCTTCTTCTTTGGGCAAAAAGCACAGCCTGGTGTATCCAATGTCGATTATGCAAAAAAAACTTGATCATCAAGGATTAAAGTTTACGCGCACGGGTGCAGCGGCTCTTAGCTCTCCAGTTTGGTGCTCGTTTTTACTTTTAATGTGGATATTTTTGAATGTTTGCAACGTCGCCATCTCTTACAGTCGCCAGAACCTAATTGACCTAGGTTTTAAATATAGTTTGTCTGTTTCTGGCGACTATCAGTGAACACACAACATCCTGGAGGAGATAGCGAGACCGCCAGGGTCACCGTGGATGGTCTGCCCGCCCAGCAAGCGTAGAAGGCGACAGAGGGAAAGAAAGCAGAAGAGGGGATGCCGGTCGGGCTCAGACGCTAGGCTACGCAAACATCCACACCGGCCAGCACTTCCGAGCCTATCGGGCAGGGCTGCGTATAGGGCGGCCAGGGCAGACCTGAGTAGAGGTATCAGTAGGGCTGCTCGATTATGGCAAAAATGATAATCACGATTATTTTCACTGAAATTGAGATCACGATTATTTGACGATATTTATTTAACCCTTTAAGACCTACTATAGAACCAAGTCCACCAGAGCTTATATTATTTTTTTACATGCTGTAGTGCCATTTGTGGGAGCATTTCAAGTTGCTACATCAATACAACTGTTATAGCCCATATTTTAATAATATGTATGCATTCAGTCCATAGTAATTACATAAATTGCAAAAAAGTGCAATAAACTACAAAAAAATTTATATCTTTTTTGGTTTTTTTACATATATTTCTACTTGGAGAAGTTTAAGAGGTTTATCCCTCAAAACTTTAAATACAATAAAGTTGCAAAAAATAGTTTCCCACCACGGGAAATTTATTTTGAGTGTCTTCATAGTTTTATTTTGGAGATACAGCAATTTTTATATACTGCAGGAAAAACAAAAAACAATCCTATGATGCAAATTTGCAAAGAAAACAGCAGGTGCATCATTTCACTGTGGGAAGTGTTACGAACAGCTGATCGGATCGGCAAAGCGTGTTTCTGGAA